CGATCCGAGCGGGGTCGGTTAACTCCCGACCCCGCTCGTCGTCCTCCTTCCGCGAGACCACGGTCTCGCAGAAGGAGGACACCGCCTTCCACGACCCTTCGCTCTCCACCATGGCAGCGATCACGGTAGGGAGCGAGAGGTCCCACCCGAGCGCCAATCGGAGTGCCCGCCTCTCCCCGGAGAAGGCCGGACACTCCTCCAGTGCATGTTGCGCGGAGTCGAGCTCCGCGCCGCACTGGTGGCAGCCAGGCGTCTCCTCAGCGCCGACCTTCAGTAGGTACTCCCCGAAACAACCATGTCCGGAGAGCACCTGCGTCAGGCGGTACGTCAACCGACCGTGACGGCGGTCCATCCATGCATCAAACACGGGTAGGACCGCCCCCACGGCCCTCTGTCGGGCGGCGCCGCTGACCACCAGCTGACGCTGCCACGCCTCCCTGGCGAGCCCGCTATAGGCTCGCCTCCACCCCTCGACCGCCTCGGGCGGCGGGTCGATGCCCTCCCGGCGGTGTGCCTGCCGACGCCGATAAACCTCAGCGTCGACCACCGCCTGGAGCTCAAACGACACGACCCGCGCCAGGACGACCGCCGCCTCATGTGCCAGGGTGCGGTATCCGCGGGCGATCCTGACGGCCCTGCGGCGCTGAATACTGCGTAGCAGCTGTCTTCCGCGCCGACAGGCCGCCAGGTTAGGCGCCCATACGGGAGCCCCGTAGAGCGCCATCGCCCGCACCACACCCGTGTAGAGGCGGCGGACCTCTTCCCCCGGACCCCCGAGATTGGGCAAAAGGCGACCCAGAAGTGTCGTCACGCCCTCGATCCGGGGGACGAGGCGGCCGAAGTGGCCCTCCCACCTCCATCGGCCATCCAGGTCGAGGCCGAGGTACTTCATCCTCTCCCCGGCCCGGACGGCCACGTCGCCCACCCGGATCCAGGGCTGGGGCGCTCGCCGCGACAGAGGCAGTCCATGGAATAAGACCACCTCTGTCTTGGGCGGCGATATCCACAGCCCCAGCGCCTGGATCCTCCTGGCCACCCCGGCCACGGCGACCTCCACCATACGGCAGACCCTGGTCCCGTCCCTCCCCAACCCGATGATCAGCGTGTCGTCCGCATAGCAGACGACACGCACACCGGGGGGGAGGAGCCCGCGCAACGCCGAGTCATACCCCAGGTTCCATAGGAATGGTCCTAAAACGGATCCCTGGGGCACTCCCCGGCTCACCCTCCTGCGCACCAGCCTTCCCCCTTGGGCGGGGTACTCTATCTCCCGGTCCGCGAGGTAGTCCCGGACAACGGCTCGCAGATACGGGGGCACTCCGTACTCCCGGAGCGCCCCGCGTATCGCGTCCCAGGGGAGGGTGTTGAACGCGTTGGCTATATCCAAGCTTACAGCCAACGCCAACCGTTGATTACCAGCACCCAACCCAAGGAACTTGTTTTCAAATACAAATAAAGAGGTCCAGTAGCTTACCAGTAATTAAAGTGGCTCATAGTAATTTCCAAGAAAAATTTGCGAATTTCCTTATTGACACAGGTTCTCAACTAAATATAATAAAACAAAATGAAATAGATTCTAACATGAAGATAAATACTGATATTATTTATTATCTCACAGGTATTAATTCAGAAAACATACGTACTTGTGGCGAAATCATTATTCAAGTCCGAGACCTTGATGTAAAGTTTCAAGTTGTTAGTAAGGATTTTCCAATCGCTGAAGCAGGTATCTTAGGAATGCCGTTCTTAGAAAATCAGAACGCAATACTAAAGTTTGGAAGTAGCGAGTCGAATAGTCTTCAACTTGGCCATGAACAATTTTTCCTTTTATCTTCATCTTCTTTTAATTTATCTCCTCGTACAAAAACCCTTATTGTTCTTCCTGTTAAAAACCCTGAAATTAAAACAGGCTATGTAAGAAAATTGATCACTGATTCAGG